ATTGGGAATATATATAAAGGATCCTTTATTGTAAAACTCTTTCAAGGCTAGCTAGCCACTATATATATGAATATTTATACCTGCATTCTTGGGTAAAAACCTCCTATTAACAAAAAGATCAAATTAATATGATCAAACTCAAACACTTTGCTAAAGCGAAACAGCAATTAAGCAACATTAAGAAAAGAAAAGGATCCATAAATAGCAACATCATTATTCGGTAAGGAAAAATATGATAAAAATCCAGAGATTCTGTTTGTGATAATGGTATAAAAGCACATGATTTACGATAAATAGAAAGTCCAACACAAATCAGTGGCCAGTGTAGAAACTGAAGCAAAATTTGGAAGCTGAAAGACACCGCACAAACATAAAGAAAGAACTATGGATATATTTATATTCATATATATTTTACTACCCACATACAAATATTCTATGTATGTGTATATTTTAAAAAATAAAAATAAACTATCTTCATTTAAACTTTTAATTATAAATTCTTTTATACATGAAACAACACATATAAGATAAGTATATTCATTCGCGCTTGACAATTGTAGTATTTCATTTGTGTAGAGCAAGACTAATATATTGAATGCAAGTAGCACAAACTACTTTCATTCATGATGAACAAAGAGTATAGATCATTGTGTGTGTGTATATAGATATATTATAGGGTAGTATCATATGACACTTATTAAAACACACTTTTGTTTTAAATGAAACATGTTAAAAAAATTAAGGGACTTGAGAGAGAATTTAGAGGAAGACAAATGTAATACGGAAGAAACAATTCTTAAAGCTCAACGATAGGATAGAAATATTATATACAGCTTTACCTTTATTTGTGAAGATTCCAATTATTTCCTTTATTCATTCACCCTCCCTGATTGATAATGTGTGGCTGTAGGAAGGTAAATTTATTTGTTGCTCAATTGCCCTAAACTAATATTGTATCTTTTGCAGCTCTGAGATGTCTAAGGATCAATTGGTTGTAGATCTTACATCACGCACAAAAGTACTACTCTGGAGTGGGATTTTTCTTGGTTCAGTGTCAATTGGAGTCCTTGCCTATGCTGTTTCCAGGTACAAATTTCCCTTGAAATGTTAAATTTTTTTACTCCACTCTGCGTGTGAATTCCTGTTCAATCTCGAAAACTATTAAATGTCTGTAGGCTGGTGTGAGGGACAACTTCGTATAATACTGAAGTTTTGAAATGACGTCACCATCAAAGAAAATAAAGGAAACATTGTATATGAAAGGGACGGAGGAGTTGCAGGTGGCGCTGCAGAGTATTTCTTAAATGGTGATTATTTTTGGGGATTTAGTAGCACTGGAGACTTCATGGATGACAATGATTTCCAAAATACACGTTACTCTGTATCTCTGGCATCTTCAAATCTCTCTGATTTATACACGACAGCACGCATATCCCCAATTTCAATCACATATTTCCATTATTGCTTAGAAAATGACTATACTGTAAGTCTTCACTTTGCGGAGATACAGTTTACAAATGACCAAACATATACGAGTCTTGGCAGACGCGTATTTGATATCTATGTTCGGGTAATTAGTCACTTTGTTAAAAATGTATGTTGTGAAGCGCTATGTCTCAGGAAGAAGTATTGCGAAGGGATTTCAATATTGAAGATGAGGCAAAGATGGCTCAAAAGCCTGTAATACTAGAACATAATGTCAGTGTAACAAATAATATCTTAGAGATCCGATTCTATTTTGCTGGTAAAGGGACAACAAGGATCCCTGACAGAGGAGTCTATGGTCCCCTTATCTCTGCTATTTCTGTGAAATCTGGTGAGTTATTTGGATGCAATCTTCTTCTTTACCTTATTATAAAAGCACTCATAATAAGGTATGCTTGGGATAAAGCTTGGATCACAATTTTTTCTGTTTTCAACATCTGTTTCTGTTTTCAACATTGGTTTGGCTCAGACAGAGTTTTGAGGCCTAACATTAGACACAACATGGGAACCTAGATCAGGAAGCAGGCTAGTTTAGGAACTGGTGGTATGATGATGGTACCTATGTATTATGCATCTGCTGCTTTTTCTTTTCCCCTAATGCTAATTAGGATATTTTGTTTTTCTACCGACATAGAGTCCGATTTTAGTGGTAGTTTGTGCTAAAGTTTTAATTCTGTAACTTATCTGCGGCAAGAGCAAAGCTATTTTATGTGCGTTCCTATGAATGGAATGGATTTAATGTATGTAAAAAATGACTTTGCTTTTAATCCTGATATAAAGGGTTTCTAATAAAGGCTCAAATGCACACTTCCCAACCTCTTTTACAATGTTGTTTATCCAATTTGGAAAATTTATGTTCACTTCAGCCTTTGAAAACAACGTGTTCCTGGACAAGAGTTTCTTGTCCTTTTTTCGTTTTATGCTATTCCAGTTAGTTAATTGATTTGTTCTTTTGAGCAGATTCCAAAGATTGCTCAAATGGTGAAAGCAAGGGAACTGCTCACATTGTTGCTGGAGCTGTAGTAGGAGCATTTGGCCTAGTGTTTGTTATATTAGGAATCCTTTGGTGGAAAGGATACATGCCAGGCAAAAGGGGGAGAAAGAAAGGTGCTTCATCATATCGAAATGTGTCATTCTCAGATTCATTGGTTCCTACTGATAGTTTGCACAAGTATATAAAAATGAGATGGGCCTGCACGCCTTTGCTTTATATGTTATCTTGCAAGAGAAAATTCATAAAGCCAAGAGATCAATATCTTTCCTAATTAGATTTGATTATACAAAAGTCCTATTCCATATCGTCATCTTATTCACTCTTCAAGATTAATTAACTTCCAATCCCGTCCATTGTTATACAAGGAAACCATATATATCAATGAAACCAATTTAGGTATTAAAAGAAACATGTTCTCCAAGTCAAATATGAAAAAAAGGATATTTTTACTTAAACCGAAATAAGGTTCAACTAGAAAAATAATCTCAAGAGATAAAATCTAATCCTATTAAAAATAGGACTAATATAAAAGCATTTGAGTGAAAATAACTCCAATTAGGAATCCTATAATGAATGCATGATTATGTCATGATTTACCTGAAATCAAGTTCCTCATATTGATCAAGTCATACTTCGAAAATCCGGGATTGAATGTGTTGCGCCAAAACTTTCAGTAAAAGATATTCACACCCTAATTCCCGACCTATGCTAGAATCTAGGAAATGCCAATACAATTTTCATACTAATATTTACCCTTATACGTTTCTCATGGCTGTTCGTTTATTATATATGTTGCTTTCTGGATGGAATCTCTTCTTGCTTTATGATATATGTGTTTGGCTTTGCATAGTTGTTTTGACTGATTTGCTGAACTATAAGCCACACATGCATTTGCCACGTGATAGCAACACATGCATATGCCACTCACTCGAAAGCAACCAACCACATCCACACATTAGTTTTTAAATCCTACCAAAACAAGATTGCCCTCGAACCAAACAGGTGAAAGTAAATGGGTGTAATAAGGCCATCTCCTACCCATGATACCAAACTTAAAATATCCCAAATTTTAGCCCATTTCCTTTCCCAACCCAAGAAAATCAAGGGGCCAAAATTTGAGAAAACCAAAACTTGGGGTCAAATACTAATCTGGCTATTGCCTAGACTGGAATTTTTTCTGATGGAGCCCACGCAGCCCATGTGCAGCTAGTGCCACATGTCATGCGCTCATGATGTTGCGGTTGGTTTAAACATCCCCTAAATATATTCCAATAGTAACCAAAATCAACGATCTATATTAAATCCATGCTACTTTAATGGTAAAAATAAAAATCCAATAGCTGAAATTTAAATCCAATGGTCAAAATAATATTTTTAATTAATCTAAATCAAATCCAACCCCAAAACTCACTCAAAATTCTATAAATACCCACCCATTTCTCAAATAATCCACCACAAATTATATTTGTGGAATTTCAATTTTTTTAGGTTAAATTGTTCAAAAAATTAAATTATGAAGTTATTTAAAAAGATTAAATGAAGAAACGTTATCCATTTTAAAAAAAAATTAGACTTAAACCATTCTTAAACAATTTAATAAAATTGTGGACTTAAAATTTGAGTCTAAAGGGTTGGGGAAAAAACGGTTTGAATCCGGGCCATACTTGGTTTGGCTCAGACAGAGTTTTGAGACCTAACATTAGACACAACATGGGAAACTAGTTCAGGAAGCAGGCTAGTTTAGGAACTGGTGGTATGATGATGGTACCTATGTATTATGCATCTGCTACTTTTTCTTTTCCCTTAGTGCTAATTAGGATATTTTGTTTTTCTACCGACATAGAGTCCAATTTTAGTGGTAGTTTGTGCTAAAGTTTTAATTCTGTAACTTATCTGCGGCAAGAGCAAAGCTATTTTATGAGCGTTCCTATGAATGGAATGGATTTAATGTATGTAAAAAATGACTTTGCTTTTAATCCTAACATGAAGGGTTTCTAATAAAGGCTCAAATGCACACTTCCCAACCTCTTTTACAATTTTGTTTATCCAATTTGGAAAATTTATGTTCACTTCAGCCTTTGAAAACAACGTGTTCCTGGACAAGAGTTTCTTGTCCTTTTTTCCTTTTATGTTATTCCAGTTAGTTAATTGATTTGTTCTTTTGAGCAGATTCCAAAGATTGCTCAAATGGTGAAAGCAAGGGAACTGCTCACATTGTTGCTGGAGCTGTAGTAGGAGCATTTGGCCTAGCGTTTGTTATATTAGGAATCCTTTGGTGGAAAGGATACATGCCAGGCAAAAGGGGGAGAAAGAAAGGTGCTTCATCATATCGAAATGTGTCATTCTCAGATTCATTGGTTCCTACTGATAGTTTTCACAAGTATATGAAATGAAGGAAAAAAAATTAACAATTGCACTCTTTGATTGCTCAAGCAATGATGACTAACACTCATACTCTTCTGATGCCTCCTTGGACAGATAGAGAAGGACTTGATGGGCAGACAGGGACTTTTACCTTAAGACAATTAAAAGCTGCCACTAATGACTTCGATTCTGCTAACAAAATCGGAGAAGGTGGTTTTGGTCCTGAGATCATGGTTAAAGTGGCTCTGATTTGTACAAATGCCTCTGCATCACTTAGGCCTAGCATGTCCGAGGTGGTGAGCATGCTTGAAGGACAAATCCCTGTTCCTGACGTGATCCCAGAACCAAGTACCTATAGAGAAGATTTGAGGTTTAAGGCCATGAGAGACCTCCAGCGGCAGAGGCAAGATCATAGTTTAAGTATCAGTGGAACACAGCATTCAACTACGGTCCACACATTCGAGTCTACCTCTACGTCCGGCCTTGAATTCTCTGAAATCAATCCAGACTCAACACCCTCTTGACAGTTGTGGACATTCTGGTTCTATAGTAGCAAATATGTTGTAGTTTGTAGTCTTCGGAAACGCATATGCAGATTAGCTGTGTCCATATTTTCTTTTCTGTACATATTTTGTTCAATTTTCTATTAGCTTTATTCGTTCCATGTTTGTCTCTGCAAACAACAATAATAACAATATCAATATTATTCAATTGAAGATTCAATTTAATTAGTTCATTCGTTTTCCTCACCAAAGACTGAATAATTTCTGCTGTAAATTTCTACAAATTAATAGAAACGTTGAAACTGTAACTGCAATATTTTGAAATTTTATTTCAGCCGACGACAATATATTACATAAAGTAATAGACCAAGTTTTTATTTATTTATTACTAATATTAAAATCGTTGTATCTGGAAATGTAGAGCCTTTTTGGTGTGGACAGAAATGTAGAGCTGTCGGTGCAGCTGGAAATGTAGAGCCTTTTCAACACACCCCTCATGTGGGACCACCACATAGTGAGCCACACGTGGTGCCAAGTCCACATCAGAGTCAAACATTCAAGCTCAACATATGAGACTTATATTTTTCAATACGCCCTCTCATGTGGGACCATCACATAGTGGGCCACATGTGGTGCCAAGTCCACATCAAAGTCAAACATTCAAGCCCAACATATGAGATTTATATTTTTCAACACGCCCCCTCATGTGGGACCACCACATAGTGGGCCACACGTGGTGCCAAGTCCACATCAGAGTCAAACATTCAAGCCCAACATATGAGACTTATATTTTTCAACACGCCCTCTCATGTGGGACCACCACATAGTGGGCCACACGTGGTGCCAAGTCCACATCAGAGTCAAATATTCAAGCCCAACATTTGAACATCACGTATTGAGTAAGGGATAATGGTAAACATTCAAGCCCAACATGTGAACACCACATATTGGGTAAGGGGAAATGATAAAGGCCCAATATTTCAGGCCTAATCATTCAACCCACTCTGATACCATGTTAAATTCAGAGAGACGGGCAGTGGTGGACAATATATTACATAAAGTAATAGACCAAGCTTCTTTCAATTTTTTTACTAACATTAAAAACGTTGCGTCTGGAAATGTAGAGCTTTTTTAGTGGACAGAAATGTAGAGCTTTTTTTGTAGACAAACGTAGAGCTGTCGGTGCATTAACTGCACTAACCTTATGAATTAATAGCAATATTGTCGGGTCTTTATACAATTGACCACTCATTATTTTCCTGGTGAATTTTCAAAAGATAAAGGTTTGTCATGCAGAACCGGAGCTTTTAACTTTTTTGTAATGTGGATAGCATTGCTATCTCCGATCAATATATAATGCAATTATATAGCTAGTTGCTAGTTGACACCTGCCATCAAAAGTCTTATTGATTAATAAGTCTATAAGGGGTCCCTTCATTAATATGAACTGACCTGAGGCTGAGACATTGAATATTCTAGTCATGGGTGATGTGGATGCAGCAAGTAAGGTTGAAGCCTTTTACATCAAGCATTAATACTAATATCGACTTTAGTGGGCTGGTTCGGACCGGTTAAGATGAGCTTTGAAGTATTGGATTGGATTGGCTTGAACTGGTTGTTTGGTTAAAGATAGGAGCTTGAGAAAAATTGCATTTTTATGTTTGGTCTATCTTAAGTGCGCTTGTGGGAATGCAATTCTGCACTTGTGAGTATGGACTCCCATGGAGGGAAAATTTCACACTCTTGGCTTTATTTGAGAATTTTTCCCCCACATGAGAAAGCATGTGATGCAACATTTTAGGACTAACTTACCTGTTATAATTCTCTAATACCACTTTTGACCTTTAGAAAAACATTTTGTATTTCTTTTTTTTTAACCTACGATTTTCAGTCTCAAACGGTTCTTTTTTGTTGGCGATCTTAGTCCAGAGGTTACACATATGCAACTTTATTTGCTTGCTTCTTGGTCTATCATAGTTGCTATGACTTTGTGTTTTTTTGTTGTTGCTTTTTTATCCGCAACCAAGAGGATCCTCAATGGCTTGGAAGTAGACAAATAAAATGCAATAGTGTTCGCTCCATTGAAGAGAAGCAAAGTAACGACACTCAAAATGTTTACTTACAAATGGATCTTCATATGGAGGTCAGGAGAACTCCAATCCCCTGAAAATAATCAAGCATACACTACCATCTATGTTGGCAATCTCTTCCATGAGGTTACTCAAGGTTAATGATTAGGAATAGTTTCTTTTTTTGGCGACAGCTAAATGATTAAGAATAAATTTTAATTAAAAAAAATTAAAGGGGTGTATTCAATTCGGATTTTAATAGATTGTTTTGAAGCTTAAAAGTTTAGTGATATTCAATTACGTTTTTTAAGTAATGAATTAAAGTCCAGTAGTATTCAATCGGGAATCTTAAGTAATGAATTAAAATCTGGTGGTATTCAATTACTTACCAATTTTGAAGTATTTCATTAAATGTTGTATTGTATGAGACTTTTGAGTGGGTGATACAAATACAAAACCCCATAAAAAAATCTCACCCTCCTAGTCCTGATTCTCACGCTCTTTGATTTCACTGAAGGGTGGGGTACTCATTGCCTATAAATAGGTAATGGTTTGTGTGCATTGTAAGAAAAAGAGCGAGGATGAGATAAAGAGAAAGAAAGAGAAATTCCAAGAGAGTTTTCTTACCATTGTAGTGCATCAAGGATAAATGGCAACAGCAGTTAATTGTATTGCTCCAAAAACCATCATGAACCTTATTATGCTCATTTCGGTTCTCTGCTTATGCACGAAATCAGTCGAAGTTGAAGCACAAGCTTCGCGTCTGCCTGCTGCAGAAGGTAACTTACTAATCTTCTTGTTTAAGTTTGTATATATTGGTAATACTAATATCCATGCATTCACTCAAGCCTCACTTCAATCAAGTTTAAGCGGCAGTATGCAACTGTTTTGATTTTTTCACTAAAAAATTAATCAAACCAAACCACAATTAGTTTCGTGTGGTTTGTTTTGACCTTTTTGAAACCCTCTAAACTACATCAAACCAACCTCTTTTTTTATATTTTATTTTTATTATTATTATTTTACACTTAGTATTATTCGTTATCATCCTTTACTAACACGTTTCATCTCATCCATTGATATCAACCGTTACAAAAATTAAAATACATAACCCATTTGAATTTGATGCTATCTCTCTCTCTCACACACACTAAGAATTTCTTCATATTCAAAGGTTGTTTTCTCAACTATTGTTTAATTTACGACATGAAACTCTCTTTATAACGTGTTCAATTAGTTCGAGTAAAGGAACTAAGGAATAAGTAAAAGAATGAATATGCATGAGATCAATTACTACCATTCAATCAATCTAGTTTCTTTTTAGGTATTGGATTGTATCTTTTAATGTGAAATTCATACAAGTTTTATTCTTATATGTTAGTAAATGCAACAGAATTAAGGAATAATTCAAATACTCATCTGTTAATAGTAATCACTAGGAAAGTCAGATTTTAGAATAGGCTTTTTATCACAAAACGTTTCTGAGGTTCAAAAAACTATCAGATTGTGTCCCTTTATTTTTTTTTTTTTAAATTTTAATTTTAATTTTTGGTCGTTCGTGGTCCTCAAGTTTAATATGTGTGCTCACAAATAGTCCTTCTGTCAAAAACTCTGTTGGTTTGTTGATGTGACATATATATGGAGCCCACATATCCAATAATATAGTGCCATATGTATTTAAAATACAATATATATGTTAAAAATAATTTAAATTTTAAAATACAACTTTTCTTTTGGTTTTTTCATTTTTTATTTTTATGATTTTTAAATTTTAAATTATTTAAAAAATATATATTATATTTTAAATACACATAGCACTATATTATTAGATATGTGGACTCCACATATATGCCACATCAGCTAACTAACGGAGTTTTTGATGGAACCTGAAGGCATGGACTATTTGTGAGCACGCATATTAACCTTGAGGACCACGAATGACAAAAAAAAAAAACAAGAAGGACTCAATTTGATAGTTTTGTGAACCTCAAGGATGTTTTGCGATATAAAGCCTTTTAAAATAATCAAGGGGTTTCACGTACCAAAAAAAGATTCGAAAAACTTTTCATGGCCCCGACCAAAAAAATCCTAAAAAGGGAAATGAAAGACTTGTCATAGTCAAAGAAAGCAAAAACACCTCCCTCGACGATAATGTAATCGAATCGGCCAACTAGGTTCGAAGTCAGACAGACATAACAACAAACACACACCCATCAAAAGTCATTGGCTCATAAGGCTCAGAGGGACCCTTCATTAAAAACAGAGACTGAGACTGAGATTGAGCCAAGAAAGAATAAGGATAATACAGATATCAGGGAATTGATATATTACATCAGGGATTGATATGGCAAGATTTCATTTTGATGTTTCAAAAGCCACCATGGACCTTGTCATTTTGGTAGCCATGTTTGTCCTCTGCTTCTGCATATCCACAGTCAAAGTTGAACCACAATCTCTTCTTCTTCTTCTGAATGTTTTTTCATGTTGGTATTGCTGATACTCAAAATCTATGCACTAAAGCCTCAGCTTTTGTTTTTGTTTTGAAAAACATGAAGCATGGGGTATTTTTTTGAGTTGTGTTGAACAGCAGAGAACAGAGTGCTCAATGCAAAAGTTGGTCTATTTGATTGGGAATTGGTAGAACATTTTAGCCTTTCTAGTGTTACTGTGTTAGAGCACTCCCAGTTCAATGAATTAGAACCCATATATGATTTTACATGTTGGTTAGATTAGATATAAACTTACAAAAAAGATTTTAAAAAAGAAAGAACTTGTTTTCATCCTAATTTATATTGATTTAAAAGCATAAATAAAGGTTACAAATTTTTAATCGAAAATGAAATGAAAGAAGCTAAAAAGTTGGACCTGAATTTTCTTTCATCATTACAACTGGAAATGGATATGAAATTCAATGATTGAGAGAGAGAGACAGAGCATGATCTGTATCTTCTAGAGAAGTTTACTAGGTTAGAATGGTGGGTGGCAGAAGACCCAAGCCCAATCACTATTAGTATTTTGGCATCAACATTAATTTGGGCCAATGTCAGGCTCAATCACTCTACTTTTCTTTAAAAAATGAAAAATAAACTCGGCTGATGCATAAAAAACACAGAAAATGGAAAAATAAAAAGATTCATGATTTGATTTGTTTGCGCAGTTGAAGCACTAAAAGAAATAGCAACACAAGTGGGAAAAAAAGACTGGAACTTCAGCATAGATCCATGCAGCAATGATACAAATTGGGCTACCCCAAAATCTGCTGACTTGCCTTTATACAACAACACTGTCATATGCAACTGCTCCTACCCTGATGGTTTCTGCCATGTTGTCAGCATGTACGTCAACTGAAAGCTTTTATTTGTACTCATCTTCTGTTTGTTTATTTATTGGTTTAACTATCTTATGTAGCATTTCAATCCATTTTTCATTATTGTTCTATGGAGAAGATTCAGAATGAACTCTTTATGTTATCTTATGATCTCTGACATTTTTGTGATACAGTTTTCTTAAAGGGCAAGATCTTGCTGGTGTAGTTCCACCATCGGCTGCAAAGTTACTCTACCTAACAAGAGTGTAAGGGAAACATTTTTAGTTGTAAATTTTTATTTTTTTTTATTTTTAATAGCATCTATCATCTGAAAACGTTTCTTATATCATTTCCACAAATGGTAATGTTATTACTAATATCTTCTACTCTTGTTTACAGAGATTTTACCAGGAACTACCTTACTGGTACTATACCGCGTGAATGGGCTTCTACAAAGTTGGAATATCTGTAAAGGATTTCTGAACTTCATGCAAGGTTAGCCAATAATAGCTTATATTAACTGAACTGACAAAATGTGTACACTGTGCAGGTCCATTACTGTGAACAATTTATCAGGACCAATCCCTGGCTACTTGGGAAACATAAGCACCCTAATATATATGTATGCTCTGGCTCTATCTCTCTTTACCACCTCATATTATTTGTCAAAATCAATTTTAAATTTCATTTGATTTTAGCCTAGTGTGATGATGGAGAATCTGTTTTCAGGAGCTTGGAGAATAACAACTTTTCTGGAACTGTTCCTCCTGAGCTTGGGAAATTGGTTAACTTGAACAATCTGTAAGCCTCTTTTCTTTTTTCTTTTTTTTCCTTTCACCCTCAGTTTTCTTTTGTTTAATTCTTGATTTTTAAATATGAAATAAGTTGAATATGCAAGTACCAGTTGATAAGTTGGCATTGGTATCTGCAGCATTCTTAGTGCAAACAATCTCACAGGAGAGTTGCCACTGGCTCTTACTAATCTGACTAAGTTAACAGAACTGTAAGTGTTTGTACCCTTAACATTGCTTTACTTCTAATTACTTTATAAATTTGGCATGTTAAGAAATCTTCAACTTTATGCTATTCAATCTCTCTTTATGCAGTAGGATTAGCAGTAACAACTTCACAGGAAGAATACCTGATTTTATTCAAAGCTGGAAGCAACTTCAGAAATTGTAAGTGATTTTTCTATCCCATATTGTAAATTGTTAGGATATAGAAATTTTCTGGTGTAACATCTATTCGTTTTGAATTCTGTTGTTGACAGAGAGATCCAGGCTAGTGGTCTCCAAGGGCCCATTCCGTCTAACATTTCTGCCTTGAGTAATTTAACAGATCTGTGAGTTCTGCATTCAATCCTAAGTTGCATTAACACCAAAGAACCTAAATCTACGTTTACAAGTTAATTATTACTTCCTATAACAGGGATTCTTTTTAACAATGGTTCATGATGGGATTAAATGCAGAAGGATCAGTGACATAAATGGAACGGGTTCAGAATTTCCACCCTTGAGTAGTATGACAGGCATGGGAAGTTTGTAAGCATTGAAAATGTTCTCTTTTTTTATTTATAATTTTAGACTAGTCGTCGACGCTTAGCTGAACTTGTGCTAATAGATAGTTATGTTGCAGAATGCTGAGGAGCTGTAACTTATCTGGACGCATCCCCCCTTATATATCAGCAATGACAACATTGAAAATATTGTAATATTTCTTCATTTCTTTTTTTTTCTTGTTCAATTGAACAGCAGACAATTATTTAATAGTTTCTTGATCACAAGTTGGTTGATGAGTTCAATTTTTTTCAGTTAAGCATCCAAGTAATAAACTTTGGATTCTTAAACATAACTCTTGTTATTTCTTGCAGAGATCTCAGCTTCAACAGATTGGAAGGAGACATCCCTGATTTATTAGCGACCCTGACAAACTTGCAGTACTTGTAAGAAATGTAAATTTCATGCAGGTTGTGTTTTCATGATGCATAGGGCCTCCTC